AATTTTTGCACAAAGCGAAAAAATCAACCTAATGTTTACTGATTTCTCGGGAAAAACTATGGAATTTTCTAGACAGGCAGATTCTTTTAAATTGTCCTACTAGCTATAGAAAGGAAAAGCCCTGATACTGTATAACATAAACCTTAAAAAAGCGAATGCTTTTTGACATCACTTACACTTCAGTATATAGATAAAGAGTTCAAACTAGCTGAAAATATATACAAAAAATATCATCACAATCCAGTGGTTCGATCTACTAATTTATTTAAGAGTTCTTATAATGCTAAATTACTCATATCAGTATTATGTAGACGCTTAATGTCCCTCTTCACTGACCTGGAGTCGAAAACATTATGTTGAGGAAATTGCCTATAGGAATACAGTGTTTTGACTGACAGGAAACTTAGCAGGAGTCCAGGCTCCAATATACAAGGATTTAGTGGCTAACATTTATCTTAAGCCAGTTTTTGCTAATATTTTACCCTCAATATGCGGGATACGGACAAAAGCCGCCTCCCCCCCCCCCAGACAAAAGCCCCCCTTTAAAAATGACATGGTTGACAAAAAGCCACTCCCATGAAATTTACACGTAGGACAAAAGCCCCCCCCCCCCTCCCCACCCCATCAAAAATAATAATAATAAAGACTTTATTAAAAAGGCAACATAGTTGGGTATGTCCAGTCTTCCCTATGAGCCTCTGTCAAATATACAATGTACATAATATAAACATTTACAGACAAAAGGTATGATAAACAACAACAAAATTACAAATACATTGTAGTTAAGAAACATGTAAAATGAAAATCTACAAAAAAATTGAAAAAACAAAAAAAAACAAAAACATATTTCAACGTCTATAATAATTATATAGACGTTGAAATATGATTTTTTTTCAAAACGGCTTATATTAGATTTATATATATATATATATATATATATATATATATATATATATATATATATGTGCATGTGCTGGGATTGACAAATATACATTTTATTTGGATTTTTAAGGCGTTTTAAGCTACACACCGCAAGTGTCTGTGAATTTTTTTTAGGCCAGAGCTAGTGTCGGTGGTCCGGGCCTGCTTGATAAACATACCTACATAATATTCAGGCCCGTCGTCACGATTTTGTGATTGGTGCGGCCAATTTGGTAGATTTTAGGCAGAATCTAGGGGGGTCCGGGGGCATGCTCCCCCGGAATTTTTTTTAGTCTAGGATGCTCTCAGGAGCGTTTTCCCGTATATTTGGCACATTTTACAGCCTGTTGCTAGAACATGTTAAAGTAAATTGTTAACGATTTTTTTACAGATTTAAGTGCGTCATAAGTTTTAAGGGTGAAATTTAAGGTTTGCATAACGGACGGGCAGGTGAACATAAAAGATGAATACATGTAATTGGTATTTCGCGAATGAAAAATAAACCTTTTTTATTACTATCGGAATTTTTTCTATATAAACAAAGAAGGCCCGAAGCGTGCATTATTCTACAACAATGCACTCGCCGTTCTTATTATCTCCCAGTGTATTTACACATTTATTCGTCTGAGCTCCGTGAATGTCCTTTCACTGGTAGCATTAGTAGCAGGCATAACTAACAAAATATTTAACAACACAACGACCTCAGTTCTAGCACCGATTGTTTTGACACAAATTTCAAAGCGTCAGGTAACAGTACTATTTTCTGATTTGTCAAAATGTAAACGTATCAACTAAAGCTGCACCTCTAAGATGTCACGGTTATTATCGTTACCATATAAATCACAAACAAAACCAAGTTTTCTAGTGAACGGTCTTCAAATGTTGTGCGGCCTTAATAAATAAATCCTCCATGTTCTGAAGTACGCGATATCTCGATTGGTCAAATCTTTTCTTTAAAACTGGCCATCTTCAAAATACTTAGGCCGGAACACGTCCTGCACTGTAATTATGTAATAGAGTAATTGAATGAGTTTATTACTGAATTTATCTTAGGAGTTGAATGAAAAAATATTATGCGAGCCTCTGGCGAGTATAATATTTTATTCAACGAGTTCAATAAATTCAGTAATGAACTTACACGAATTCAATATTCTGTTTATTACAAACCAAAAATAAGTACCTTTTGAAGTGAAAAAGAACAATTTTTCATTGAAGCCCATAGAAAAACGCCAACATTTAGTCGCGTATAACGCAAACGACGTCAAAATATATGCATGCACGGCCGTGCAATACCATTTTCAAGGAGTCGCAAAAACGGCACGGATATGTGATAAAAATATGACTTTTGAACGGTTGCCGTGTACAATCAATAATATATTATCAAGTTCTTGGAGAATTCAGGCATACTAGTTCAAGATATTCATAATGCGCATATATATACATATATATACGGTGAACTGTTCGAAACCACGTCGATGTCAATTATCTTCATACTTAACTTCGTAGGACCCCTACATATACCTGGTCAATAAAAAGTGTCCAGTTGTTTCTTCGCGTCATGTTTGTATATTATCGCGTATTACATAAAGGGCCAGTTCAGTGTCAAATTGCTATTCAGCGATGCGTGTTTTTTTTATTTATTATTTTTTTTAACTCATTTTTGGCCAAAATATTGGTCCGGCCAAGGCCGGACCGACCGGACCATCGACGACGGCCTTGATATTTCAAGAACAAAATTACTTTCATTTGATGAATTATTTGTATGATAAGGCGACAAAAAGGGAGAAGGTTAAGACAACATAGGCTAATCTCAAGTGACTTGACTAGACGAATTGGCAACACGGATCAATACCGTATCATCAGGATTTAGACACTTTTAAAGCGTCAAAATAATATGGATCAGATAAAGCGTCTGCCTTTTTTCTGTAAAAGATGTTTAGAAATTCTAATTAAGAAAAATTATTGTTCATCAATCAATTAGTTCTGTAGAAGATGACTAAAGGTTTTTCTAATTGTAGCTCTAGAGACCCCTAAAAGGGGCCAATCAAAATGAGCAAATTTGATACAAGACTAGCAAAATATACTCAGACATCGGAGTATCCCCCTTTGATATACTAATAACTCACCCTTAACCTTCGGTTCTGGTGAGCTTAAGTTATAATAAAGGCTATATTATGAGCAAAATTGTAAAAATCTATTTTTAACACTGGCAACCTTGACCAATAGGTCCCTACCCAGTGGCGGATTCAGGCCCGGGCTTCAGGCTGCAGCCCCCCCCCCCCCCCCAGCTTGGCCCAAAGATAAGTTTACCATTGCTGTCATCCAGTTGTTAATCTCCTGCCTGGGGGCTTGGCAGAGATTTTTATCTATCAACATGCTTGAATGACTTCAATGTTTAAACTGCATAATTGATTGGTTTTATTACTTTCCAAAGGTCTAATGAAATTAATAGTCACAGATAGTGGCAAAAAGATACGTGCAACATTGTACACCATATTTTACTATCTTTGTTTTTCAATTTTCTTTGCGAAAGTCCTATGATTAAGAAATTGAAAATTATTATTTGTAAATTAAAAATGTGACCAGTTTTATAAAGATTATACTAAATGAATCGCGTTCTAAATAATAACTAGTTTTTCTTAGATTTTTATTCAGATGAACTGATTGGTCATTTGCTTTTAATAACTTTTTTATTGGCTTTTAATAACTTTTTTATTGCAGTTATATTTTCTAAAATAAAATTTAAATTGTACTGACCTCTTTAGTATCTAAAATGGATTCATTGATGGAAAAAAATTCTTATTGAATATATGTGTTTGAAATTATTTTTGTATAATTGAAAGGCAGTACTTTAATATCACTTTACTTTGGAAAATCGTCTATTATTCAGAGAGGACATTGATCAAGTGTTTAAAAATTATTTTTATCAACAGTCGCACATACATTGGTTAGTGTGCTGTTATTTTGTAAATGCTTAATACTAAACACCAGGGGAATTCTATTTGATTTATCCTGCAAACACTAACCTGTAAAACCATCCAAAAGGTACCATAAACAGCACTTGAAAGTCAAGGAAATAACACCATTTTCAACCTCATATTTCAAAAATTTCTCAGTCTACTCCAATCACATATATTTTTCTTATTTCCGTATCATCTAAATATTTTACGGAAATAAAAGTATACACATATATAAGCGAAAGTACATTGCCACTCACAAGATGTAGCTATTAACCCTTTCACTGCCATAGGGACGGCTTAAGCCGTCCCTGTTATTTTCGGCGTATTTGCCATATGGACGGCTTAAGCCGTTTCTATAATAATAATAGTAATAATAATAAATTAATAATAATAATAATAAATATAAAGAAAATTATACCATCGGCAATAATTATTAATATACTAACAGATTTGGAAATATATATAGTTATTATAATACATATAACAAATAACAATAATTATATTAATTAATAATTTAATTTCTTAGAAAATCCTCTGGCAAATAGGTGAACAATAAAACAATAACCCTCTGGCAGCGAAAGGGTTAAACACATTAATTACAATTTTTGTCAAATGAACAAGATATAGGCCCTATCTTCAAACATGCACACTTTTCGCCTGTTGCATTATTTTTGTCAAAATCTTCCACCCATATGTCAGCCCCCCCAGGAAACCATGTTCTGTATCCGCCCCTGCTGAGTACCTCATCATAAGAAGAAGGCCTCAATTTCATGTTCCTACCAAAATCTAAAAATAAAATAAAAGTCATCTGTCAATAGAATAAGGTTAATAAACCTGTAAAAAGCTATTTTTGACATAGGTTACCTAAAATTAAGAAATGCTTAAGTCATTCATTCTTAGCTATAGTGCTATACTTATGCTTTTTTATTTCCAGGTACTCACAACACTTAGATTTTTGGCAAAGAGGGAATATTTGTCAGAGATGAGTGATATTCATGGAATTTCCAAGTCTTCTGCAAGCAGAATAGTGGAGAGAGGGTGTGAGGCACTCACCATCCTGTTGAAGCAAATAAAGATGCCGTCAGGTCCACCAAGAGAATTTTTACGACATCAGTCATTGTCCAAATGTCATTGGGTGCATCGATGGCACCCTTATTCCAATTAAGGGACCAAGTGGCGCAGATGAGCCATCTAATGTATGCCGGAAAGGCTACCATGCCATTAATGTGCAGGCTGTCTGAAATGCCGAAATGAGGTATAAAACAACCTTTAATAGAATAGTGCTTACGACTTGTCAGTAAAATTTCATAGTTCAAATCAAGATGAAGATAATAAGTTAGAATTTCTTTTAGAGCAAATTAAATTTGGATTCACATACCGGGTAGTATAAATCTAGTGTTTCTGAGTTTAATTGCCTGAAGAAGACAAAGTTATAAGCTGTACAAGTATCAAATATAATTACATTGCATGTCTGAAAATTAAAACAAAAAATTAATTAAAATAATCACAGGACTTCAACTTAAACACAATAAATATCTTGCAAAAACATTCATAGGTTGGTAAATATTTGCTAAAGAAAATGCACTGTAATTTTAAATAAATAATTAGTCCATTTTTGAGTTACTGCATTTAAGAAATAAAAATATCTAAAGGTATAATCACATAAACTTCGTATACAGAGTGTACAGCACTGAAAAAAACTTCTTTTTTATAAATGAAAACTTAACATTAAGCCTAATTATATTTTCAGATTTACAAATGTTGTGGGGAGATGGCCAGGTCGCACACATGATGCATTTATACTGGCCAACTCATCACTACACGCAACAGTAGGAACTGAAAATGATGGATGGCTTTTTTGGGATTCAGGATATCCCCTAAAAAGTGGCTCATGACATTCATTCTGCATATCCAATCAGAGCAAGAACAGCGGTACAATAATGCGCATGCATCAACAAGGAACTGTGTTGAAAGAGCTTTTGGATTGTTAAAAGCCAGATTTAGGTTTAGTTTTTCTTCTACTTAAAAAATAGTATAATTTTATCGCTAAATAAAATTACCAATTTGGATACATCATTTCAATTTTAAGTTGTAAATTCATATGCTATTGTAAGAAAACAGTTATGGATGATTTAGGTTAAATTTTTCTTCTACTTAAAAAATAATGTAATTTTATCGCTAAATAAAATTACAAATTTGGATACATCATTTCAATTTTAAGTTGTAAATTCATATGCTATTGTAAGAAAACAGTTATGGATGATTTAGGTTAAATTTTTCTTCTACTTAAAAAATAGTGTAATTTTATCGCTAAATAAAATTATCAATTTGGATACATCATTTCAATTTTAAGTTGTAAACTCATATGCTATTGTAAGAAAACAGTTATGGATGATTTAGGTTAATTTTTTCTTCAACTTAATGAATAGGATAATTTTATTGCTAAATAAAATTACAAATTTGGATACATCATTTCAATTTTAAGTTGTAAACTCATATGCTATTGTAAGAAAACAGTTATGGATGATATGACATAAATTTCCATGAACAAATATCTTATTGAGGAAAACCATTTTAAATACGAAATAATATGGCGTAATATGCAGGGGAAAATATCTGACATGTTTGCGGTTCAGACTGGAATATCCGCCTCTGGCAAGCCTCGTTACCGTCAATGGGTGGGGTTCTTTCAGGACGGAAATTCCAAACTGAATTACAGATTACAGATATCATTAATAAAACACACTTTTGGTCCTTCTACGTTCAATAGGGGAAAATGCTTGTCATGTTAGAATAAGTTTTGACATACATGTAGAAATAATACTGTAATAGGTATCCCTTTATTCCTGTGTAACAGTTCTAAATGCACACTAGACAGCGATAACATGTAAATTTAAAAGCAGAAAGTTAATGTTGAAAGTAACAAGACACACACCATAAAAATAACCTAATTCAGAGTAATTTTACATGCAAATTCACACTTCTCACAAATTTGAGTATATTCTTAAAAATACAGTCACATGCTAGTTATTGCTTTTGACAATTGCAAACAAATATATTTAAAATTGACTGTTTTAATGTAATCTTAAAAATATCTTATTTTGGGTTTCAGATGCCTACTCAAGACAGCTGGTGCATTGCCTTGCTCCCCAGAAAAGTCAGTCAAAATAATTGACTTTTGTTTTAAGCTACACAATGAGGCAATGAAGCATAATCTGCCTCTATCAAATGCCAGAAACATCTTGTTGGATAATAACAATACACAGGCACTTCAAGAGTTAGGAGGTGATGCATTTGAAGCCAGAAGAAGACTTGTTTTAAGATTTTAAGGGAAAAAAAAACTTTTTAGTTTCTAGAACCTGAAAGTTTAAAATATGATAGAATATGCAAGAAAAATAACTGACATATGTTTGCGGTTTGGATCGGAATGCCCATCCCTCAAGAATGTGTCCATGGGCAGTAACAAGGCTTGCCAAATTACTGCCCAATTGGCAGGTCCTGTTAGGACAAATATTTCAGTCTGAAATGCAACATGTGATAGGCAGTGGTAACAGTGGTTTCCCCTTAAAAGAAAATACACGAAACAACAAGTATCCAACCCAAAGAAAAGAAATTACCGATCGCAAACGTTTACCCAGGCTTCTCGCTTGACACTACTTGTGAGAACATGGGAGAATATTTCCCCCCGTACCACTGTAATGGATGCTTTTATGGTTTCGGACAGAGCCATCAGCTCAGCATCTGTCCAGTTTGCCTTTCCCCTAGATTCGCTGGCTGCATCCACTTTGTTGACAGACGACATTGACATATTGCGGGATTATGCGTGTGCCGTTGTATTTCGTAACTTTTTTCAGGAGAGCGAAATGGTCTTAAGTCCTAAGTTTACGACAAAAGATAGGACAGTCACTTGAAACGGTCTTAAGTGCAAAAACTTTTCTCCTAAAGTGGGTCATAAGTCCTAGGGATTTAGGATTAACTTAAGACCCTCCATTAAATGCAGCCCAGTTAAGATTAGTATAAGGACCTTAAATCTAGTACCGGGACCCTGAGATTTCAGACCAATGGGTGCTTAGATTTAAAGAACAACATAAAACTTGCTCTAGGAAATGCTGAGGTGAAGTTTATATAAATCATGATGTTTGTTATAATATAATTATGTAATCTTTACATGAGATATTATTATCAGCGGTCAATGAAGAGTTGATGCAATTTTTTCATGTATTAACATCTGCAGAGACAAGATGTTACATTTAGAGGCAAAGCCAACAGAGTAAGTCATTAAATGAATTTGATGACTCAATTAGTTTCTTATACAAAAATTAACAATTGCAATGTTGATTACAAACAATTTTTTTGCTACAAGTTAATTATTAAGGAACAAGAAATGTACCACAAGATTGATAAAATTCAATAAATTGTTTCATTTTTAATTCTTGAATATCTGTCAGTGGAGATGCGCAGTGGTTAATGTAATTTTTGTCTTTTTTTTCCATTTATGATTTCTGTCAAAGACAATGATTATTGGACAATATCATTGGACAAAGCAATGTGAGTACTGGAAATTTCCTATGTTTTACAGAAAATGACAGTAAGGGGATGGTGGGGGATGCTACAAAACAAACAGTTGGGGCCAATCATATAATAAAGGCCATGAAGGAACTACATGTACTAGAAAAAAATCCTGATGCATTGTCGGAACCCATGAATACAGATTTCGCTGAACTACATTCATCACGAATGAAGTGTATACATAACAAGTACGCATGTGTTACCGGGGATGATCCTGATGATGCCTTATAAGTTACAGTAAGTGTTTTTGAATTAACAGATAAGTCAGCTGAAAATTTTCTTCATAGAATAATATTAACGATGAATGCATTAGCAGCTCTGAACAAGAAGCATCTAAATTTGAATTTAAATTATATTGGGTGTCAGCAACAGAGTGCTTGGAGTCATAAGATTATATTGAATTCTTTGTTCATGTAACAGTGTTTACCATATCAAGCTAAACCATACAAAAACTTAGTGGTTTTATTTAGGGGGTTGTTTGTGCCTACAATAATGCACCAGGGACAACTGACGTACTTTGTTCTGGACAAAACTCTGTAACTAACAAGAGGTATCAACAAAAAACTCTGTAGGTAGATAGATCTTATTGAGTGGATGTGCAGTGCTGAAACATCATAATTATCTCTTATGAGTAACTTCCCTTTGTTTTTTTTCATATTTGATTTTTTCCACAGTGTAAATTCAATTGTATGAAAACTACTGACTTGAAACTTCACAGGTGGATAGATCTCATAGAAGAGAAGTGCAGTGCACAAGAACCATAACTCTTTGCTTCATAATTTTGGAGTTACTGCCCTTTGTTATCCCCCGCCAAAAGGCGGCGGGGGATATAGAAATAGTCTCCGTCCGTCTGTCCTTCTGCACTCACAGGACAGTAATTAAGTGGCTAGAGGGACAATTGGTAACTATTCTTCCTATTTGATGTCATTCATTTCGTAATGCTTTTATGTGGCTATTTTCTTTTGTGTGGCTAAAAAGAACAATAGAGAGAACAATAGAGAAGCCACATAATGACTGTATCTCAAAAAGTATTTGAGGTATCAACTTAAAACTTCATAGGTAGATAGATCATATTGAGGAGGAGTGCAGTGTATAAGAATGATAACACTATCCTGCTTAATTTTTCAGTTATTGCCCTTTGTTACTTAATTTTTGTCCAGAGCATAACTCAAAAAGCCTTTGAGATATCAACATGAAACTTCATGGGTGGATAGATCTCACTCAGGAGGTGTGCAATGCACAATAATGATAACTACCCTTCTTATTTTTTGAGTTATTGCCCTTTGTTATTTTTCATACTTAATTTTTAACCTGAGTGGAGCATAACTCAAAAAGTCTTTGAGATGTCAACATGAAAACGACATAGGTGGATAGATCTTATTAAGGAGGAATGCTGTGCGCAAGAACGATAACTGTACACGTATAATTTTTGAGTTATTGACCTTTGTTATTTTTCATACTTTTTGTCTGGAGCTTATCTCAAAAAGTGTTATAGAGGTATCAACTTTAAACTTCATAGGTGGATAGAGCTCATTGAGGAGGAGTGCAGTGCACAAGAATGATAACTCTACCCTGCATAATTTTTCAGTTATTGCCCTTTGTTATTTTTCAAACTTAATTTTTGTCCAGAGCATAACTCAAAAAGCCTTTGAGATATCAACATGAAACTTCATGGGTGGATAGATCTCACTCAGGAGGTGTGCAGTGCACAAGAATGATAACTCTACCCTTCATAATTTTTGAGTTATTGCCCTTTGTTATTTTTCATACTTAATTTTTCACCTGAGTGGAGCATAACTCAAAAAGTCTTTGAGATGTCAACATGAAACTTCATAGGTGGATAGATCTTATTGAGGAGGAATGCTGTGCACAAGAATGATAACTCTATCCTTTATAATTTTTGAGTTGTTGCCCTTTGTTATTTTTCATACTTTTTGTTCCGGAGCTTATCTCAAAAAGTGTTTGAGGTATCAACTTTAAACTTCATAGGTTGATTGATCTCATTGAGGAGGAGTGCAGCACGCAAGAAACTACCATGCATTATTTTTCAGGTTTTGCCCTTTGTTATTTTCAGCCATCAGTATTCACATAGGTTTCAAATCTGTAATCACTTCAGCCATCAGTTTTCATTACCAAAGACCTCTTTAGATTGAATTATTCTGCTCTACTACATATAAATTCTTACAATGAGCAAATACGTTTGGCGGGGGATGGTCCTGCTAACATGGCTCTTGTTAATACTTTCTTCATTGCATATTTAAACAGTTTAAACCTTTTCCAACAACTACCCATAACTTAGGGTCTTGGTAAACGCTTTATGGATAAACTACTTCTGTGTCCAAAACCTATTCCGTCCCTCCATAAACTTTTACTCATTAAACATCTCCTCATAAAACACTGAGCCAATTTCATCCAAACTTCACAGGATGTTCCTTTGGTGGTAGCCTGTAAAAATCGTTCCAAGAATTAAATTCCATGCAGAACTCTGGTTGCCATGGCGACCAAAAGAAAAACTTAAAATATCTTTTAATAAACCCAAAGAGCTATTGCTTAGATATTTGGCATGAATCATCTGCTAGTAACTGTCTACCAAGTTTGTTCAAATAAAAGTCCTGGGGGTCAAAATAAGCCCTGTCCCGTGTAGTCATTTATTTTCTTTATTTGTATATTGTAAACACTTAAAAAGTCTTCTTTTAAAAAACCTTAAGAGCTAGAGCTAAATTGGCCCCGCCGCAGGGGTTCATTGATTTTCTTTATATGTATATTGTTAAAAGTTAAAAAATCTTCTTTTAAAAAACTCAAGGAGCTAGAGCTAAGATATTAAGCATGAAACATCTTCTAATGGGTGTCTACAAAGTGTTCAAAAAGTGTGTTCAAAGAAAAGCCCTTGCGTCAAAATTGGCCCCACCCAAGAGGGCTGTTGATTTTTCTTATATGAACATTAAAAAAAAAATCTTCTTTTAAAAAATCCAAATTGCTAGAGCTTAGAAATTCAGCATGAAACATCTTCTAGTGGGTGTCTACCAAGTTTGTTCAAATAAAAGCCCTGGGGTCAAAATTAGCCCTGTCCCATGCAGTCATTTATTTTCTTTATATGTATATTGTAAACACTTAAAAAGCCCTGGGGTCAAAATTGCACCTAGGGGGTCATTGATTTTCTTTATATGTACACAAAGTCATTTCTTTATATTTCCCTTAGCAATAGCAACCAGTAATGTTTTTACACAGGCACTATTTCAGATACAAAGATGAACTTTGTGATATCAGTTTAAGATTTAAATTTTATATCTGCTTTTGTTAATAGTTTACAATATTACTTGTACCTTGTCATGGAGAGTTTCTATATTCAGGCGAGCGATTTCAAGGCCATCATGGCCCTCTTGTTTAAAATTATTTTTCTTGGAAAGAGGGTAAACTGTATTATTTGAAACATACATTAATTTGTAGTATGTGAACCTCATATAATACATAGTCATCTCACTGCCCTTATTTATTAGATTCTGTACTACTGTGTCACATATTTGTGTCTTTGGAAAATCTTTTAAAGTCCTTGAATTTAATTTTGTCTTAGATGGTCTGTCTGAACCTTGGTCTGCTTTGTACCTTTTGAACTGGCTAAAGGACATTAAAACTACTTGGCAGAAATGAAAATCATTTCGCTGCACAAAATGGCCAACAGAGCTATAAATAGAAAAATCTTGTTTGGCTTTCACAGAATAATAATTGGCGTCCGTGCCAAAGCGCGACGCCCTTATGGAATGAAATCAGATTTTGTGAAAGGGCAATTGCAACTTCTCGAGCCTTTTCATTGGCCATAATAGCCGAACATTTCGATTGGTATGTGTTTGATTATCAAAAATGAAATGTCGCGATATATAAAATGAATAGCGAACTGGATAATTTCTCAATGTAAACATATTCAAATGAAATTATCTTATCTGTCAATTAATCGTTCTCTTTGGTATTTTTATTAATCATTTTGTAATACACAGTGGGTTATTATGTGTGTTATTGCTTTACCTACAAATAGAATGATGACCTGAACATTGTGAAAGTCCGAAAATCTATTTATAGAAGTAGTTTTAGTTTACCAAAAAGGTCATTCGTCTCGCAACGAACTGGAGAATTTTGCAGGAAATGAAATGCAAACATATTAAAACAATTACATGTGTAATTGCAATCTTTAAGTAGGCAATTTTTACGAATTGTTTTATCATAGTATTATCATTCTTCGTCTGCAATTTAAACATGAGTTGTTATGGGTTTATTGATAGGCATGTAAACACACTGATGGGCCAGACTTAAAGGTCATTAAAATAGTAGATTGACCAAATAGATCAATTAACAGACTTTGTTCATTTTGACTATTATGTTGTATGTTCCAAAGAAAATACCACATGAACTTGAAATTCTATCAAATAACCAATATTAATGATAATATCCAAAAATACCCCTATATAGTATAAATAAACTTATACCATATAGGGGGTATATTTTGGATATTATAGACCTGTATATTTTGGATATTATCATTAACATTGATAGAATTAAAGTTCCTGTGGGAAAAACATTTAATATTCAAATCTCTATCATGCCTACCAAAGTTCATGATGAACAATGTCTTTCGTCCGCCCATTCATACATGATATACAATACTGACCATTGAAAAGTTTATAAGAATATCTGGTCATTAGATGTCTACTAGTTCATCTTCACTTGCTGCATTTCCTGCTTGGACGCCCTTTGATGCTTTGCATCAATGCTTTTCTTGTTAACTGCTGGTGGGATTTCAATGACACTTCACAGGAGTGATCAGTACCATCCCTAATTGTACATGGCTGGCATGTTCTGCTTCGCTGCACAAAATTGCTGCCAGAGCTGAAAATAGAAAAATTGTATCTTACTTTCACAGGTCAAACTGCTGGGAAGATTTCAATGAAACTTCACAATAACCTGGATTGATCAGTACCATCTCTAGTTTTGCATATCTCCGGCATCATTTCGTTTTGCTACACAAAAAGGCATCCAGAGCTATAAATAAAAAAAATCCTGTCTGGCTTTCATGTGTCAAACTGCTGGCAGAATTTCGACCAAACTTCACAGGAGTGATCAGTACTATCCCTAGTTTTGGGAGATTTATGTTTTTGTGATATAAAAATTCTTTTAGTTTTGTATGAATTTCAAGCTCTGAGTCTTATAATCTGATATTTGGCAGAAACGCTGTGCAGTACATATGTATAGAAAACACATTTAAGTCTCATTGTGTGAATCTAGAGCTTAGATTTTATGTATGTAGCATAACCGTATTGAACTTTCAAAAAAACTTATAAAAATCATGCCCTTAGGTACAGTATTGACCTTGCATCAGAGGTCACTTGATTTCTGTTGATATAAATAGGAGATTTATTCATGAGATTTTGAGACTTATTGTGTGAAACTGCAATGCCAAGAAAAATAAAAGCATTTTGGGGTATAATGGGCCTTTATTGAACCATTATTTTTAAAAGTTTCCTTTTTAAGCAGGTTTAGAATACTACATCAAATATAGAATCATGTTTGTCAGTCAAACATATTTTGCAAAGTATGAATAGTTTAACATTAATAACATCTTTATGCGAGTTTCTGACAAATATCTAAAATCTTTACTGACATTTTAGTTTCACAAAATAAGACTGAAATGTGTTTTCTCATTCATTTTCTGGTAAAAAGTCCATGTACCCTCAAAATATAAGTTTTACACAAAACTCGAAAAGTCTTTTTCCCATATTCATGAAGATTTGCAAAAAGTTTACGGAGAGGCTGCTCTATCAAAAGGTGCCATTTCAAAGTGGATGAAGTGGTTTAAAGATGATCGAAAGGCAACCGAAGACGGTAGTCTGCAGGTAGACAGATGAAGAAACAGTGGCTGCCATTCAGGAGTACATACTCTGAGATAGACGAGTAAGTATGGAGCACATAGCAGATAAGTTCGCTATTTCATATGATACAGCTCAGGGCATTATGACTGATAGATTAGGAATGCGCCACGTTTCAGCAAGATAGGTGCATCGTTTGTTCACGTCGAAGCACTCGGCGGATGGGGGTAAAGGTGAAAATGTGTCAGCAGTATGACAGGAGGTATCATGAAGAAGGCGATTACTTTCTAAATCAAGTGATAACATGTGATGAAAGGTGTATCACTTTTTTAACCGGAAAGTGAACGTCAGAGTTCTGTCTGGAAGCATCCTTCCTCACTTTCCCCTACCAAAGCGATAATTTCCAAGTCAGCTGGGAAGGTTATGGACATTATATTCTGTGATACATACGTTGTAGTGCTAAACCACATTAATTGTTCCTCTGAAAACGACAGTCACTGGAAATTATTATGCAACATAACTTAGAACGGAACTCTTGGCGGCAATAAGGAGAAAGTGCCCACATCTACTTAGGTCCGGATTCATATTACATCACGACAATGTGCCAAGCCATTCAAGCCACGTTGTCATGGATACACTAGAAAAACTCGACGTCAAACTGTTACTGCACCCACCCTACAGCCCTGACCTAGCAATTTGTGACTTCTGGCTGTTCCCAACTTTAAAAAAACAGTCTTCGTGGTACGAAATGTGAGTCAAGAGAGGAACTGAGGTGTGTCGTAGACACTCATCTGTGGGAGATGTCACGTGACGGGCTACAACACCTGTTCGAGTCATGGGTTGAGAAATGGGACAAGTGCAAATCGTGCATGGGACGTTACTTTGAGAAGGAGTAATTATTTTAGGTACTTGAATTAAATCATTTCCCCGCTATTGAATTAGTTTACGAATTTATTGATGCACCCAGAAATCTTAGTAATATAGATCAAAATCTGATAATTAAACAGGTTTTTGTCTCACTACCTACTTATCTGTACACAGGTGGTATAAGTGGAAAACTCTTTAACAAGCCTCACATGTAAGTATTTTTGCGCATGCGCGCAAGGACAGAATCCCCAAAAGTTAACAAGGTCAGGTTTTGACAACACACAGGTGAAAGTGATTTGAAATGAAAATTTTTTATACGTACTGCCAAACTGACACTTAGATTTTGTCTTGATTATGCATCTGCTTCATTTGATATCAATTTTTGAAGAATGCAAGAAAAAATCAAGCGTTTAGATGAAAAATACGGGTACTGCTTTTGTACGGAAACTGCTCGCATCCAGTACGACTTGCAATTAATTCACATTCACAGCTATTTTTTTTTCAGGATAATAAGCATTTTATTTGCTTTAAGTATTATAAGAAACATGTTTGTTCTTTCTAAAGAACAAAATTACTTGTTTTTGAGGCATTAAATAAATGTGCCTTTAAGATTCAAACCTACAACTTTCAAATTGAAACTGAAAGACTTAACACTTTTTCGTTGGTTTAAGTTAGGCAAGTGCTTTGCAAGTAATGTATTAAGTTATACATAAACCAATGATATATATCGTCATATCATACTTTGAAATGAGTATGTCTAGTGCATAATGGGTTTTCAAAATGCTCATTGAAGTGCACTAGAGGTGCACATGTAGTGCAACAAAATTGTGTTACCTTTAATGTGAACTCAATTTTAATTATCTCCCTTTTGTACTTGTAAACATGTTGCATTTTTTTTTAAATATTTATTCAGTGGTTTCTATATCGTATTTTACTGTTTACACATCATATTAAAATAAATGACAAGTCGACATGTATATACATATATTAAGGTTTTTTATTTCATATATAAAAGGGTGTACATAGTTCATACGACAAAATGATAGATAACGTATTTGGGAGTCGGCTAGATTTCATAACATTTTATGTAAAAGCTGTCATTATACTTGTGTATCAGTAATAAAGTATGAAACATCTGTGAGTTCTCTCTCCGTTATACGACAACGGTATTATTGCACCAAGTCAATTTTTTTTTTTAAGTTTGAATTCTTTGAGGAAAAAAAAATATAACTCTAAATCAAAATCCAATAATACAATCACTCAATACGGTATTTCCGGTATTTCCGGTTTAATCTCTTTACCGTTGAGAAAAAGTAAGTGTGTGGTTTTTTCTTAACATTTTGTTTTATTATGATGATATTTTATAACTCAAAGTGGTTTAAGTAATGTAACATGATAGATCGATTGTAACTTGTATGCTCTTAAGAAGGCATATAAAGCATTATCTCTAAAAAGAATGGTTTACAAAGTAATTTAGGTCACTTAAAATGAACAGGATATTACGCATATCTTGTTTCAGATACTTTTTGTTAATAGTTTATCAGTTTATTGAGTATTGAGAGAATAGTAGTTGTTTTTTGTTGTTTTTCATCTTGATTATCAGTTAAAATATCAGTATTTTGTATAATTCAGTGATATGCTGGCATTTAAGGATACGTAGATAGAGACTCCATTTTGAATGATTCATTGATACATAAATGACCAGAGCTCTAAATCACAGTGCTCTGTTTAAATAAAAGATATTTCAAATATTCAGTCAAACAATCATTTTGGATGTTTGACAAAGCTGACCTAAAAAAAAACAATTCCTTAAAAAGACTGCATTAAATGAATAATAGCTCATATTTTACAAAAATAACTGAAATCTCCCCATCTGAAAATAAAACTCTGCATGATGATTGTTTAGGTATTTAGTATACAGACAATCCCATCACTGCAGACTCTTACTTCCCCAGTAAATAACAAGTAAAATGGTTTCCTGCGGTGAACATTTTAATGATATAATGATATTTCATTTAACTTTTTTTAACATTTTTTTTTTTGGGGGGGGGGGGTAATAAATAAACGTTTGTATCAGGAATATAGTTGACAATTGAATAAACGATCACTATAGAAGAAGGTCTTTGGAAACTGGTGACCGTTGAAGACCAGAGAAGGTCGAACATAAAACAATTATTTCTTTTTAAGAAAAGCCTACCATTTTATGAATAATTCCGAGCAAAAAATAAATAAAGTAAACACACAAGTTTACGCAGAAAATAACGCAGAAAATAACTCTATTTATTATGGCAGATGCCACTACGAATATTTTAATTTTGTAGATTTTCAGTATAAACAATATTTGAGATAGATATTAAAGAAACATTGATAATTTTCAAACACATCATTCAAGTTTTCCACCTTAAACGGTAAAATAATTATAGAAAATTAGAAATATCACGTAATAGTTTTTTGTTCTTACTAATTCCATACAGGTAAATCCGTAACGTACCGGCAAATGGTATTTAGCTAGGTTTTCGAAAAGGTCAATTAACCAATCATGTACGGTTTACATATCACATGCTCCTCCATGTACCGAAAACAGGTCACGTGCTCCTCCATGCCTCAAAAGTTAAACGCGTACCAATACCCTGCGGTCTCCAGACCGCAGGGAATTATGTTATTGGACTGGACATCTGCAACACACCCCATTTAGAGATGACTATTTGCCCCTTCCCCCCTTTCCTAAAAAAAGGAATGAAATGAAGAGGTGGACATTTGCCCCTGAAAAGAAACTTTAGATATTGTAAACCTGAAAAATCCTCAGGTGGTGACCGGGTTTTGAACTCCAGACCTCTCAATTACATAGAGAACACTTAGTTTTTCACTGAAAGACATCGCATTTTCTTTTCTTTACAGTGTTACATTTATCAGAAAAAGCGGATTAGACTAATAAATGGTAAAAAATAGCTTCAAATCCAGTTTACGTCAAAATATTTGGACTTAAGGGGGACACTCAACCACATCGCTAAGGGTTAACCCAACAGCAAGGCTGTTGGAATTATTGGTCTATACTTGTAATCACTACACTTCTCCCCACATTATTTTGCAAGGCTTACTAAAATAGAGTAACCTTTAAATACAAAGACTGAATCCTCATCACTGTCCATGAGTGAATACCTTATGCTCATGCCGATTGTTTACCTATAAATTTCCCTTTATGGTACATGCTAGATACACTGTCCAGTTGTTCTGTCTGTAATTAATTGCTAGTCAATGCTGCATGCTTGCAAATGAAACACTATATACATTGTCATTATTTTTAAAAGAGAAATAAATTGCGGTTCAAGTATTGTGCATCAAATAACATAGAAATCAGTCAAATACTGGATTTATAGTTAACACAATTATGAATACCATGTTGTTTTACAATGATGTAGCACACTATATGTTTGGCATTGCAAAATTGAAATATTCAAACATTCCATAAATATTAAAATCGCAAATGATACGAAAATGCCAAAGTTGACTCATCTCATTGTCTTAATAATAAAATATAAATTACAATATGGTTTAAAAGTATTTTAAATGAAAAAAAAAATGTACATCAAAAATGATTTTTAACACTTTGATATTTAAGTTAACCTTTCAACATTCAACTGAAAATAGAATATTTAGAACACTTGGGTAAATGCATGTGGAATGTACACAGTGAAAAGTTAAATACAATGTAGTAAAACTTAAAAGTGTTCTTTTTGAAGAATTTATTCCTTTCCGAACTTGGTCCTGTAATGCTGATTTTTGTATCCTATATCTCTTGTTGCATTTTCATTTGAATTAATTCAAGTGTTCACCTGAATGAGGTGATGTGCAAAACCCATGTTGCTCAAGATTGCAAGAAGGTCAAATTCAACATTTTTAATCTGCACTAAAAATTCTGCATTTTTATCCCCCTCCCCCCACCATAAAATGGCTGGGGCATATAGTTTCCATTCATTATCTCGACATATGCATATATCAGTGCAGGTCAAGTTTGAATTTAATCATGGTTCAATGATTTTTAGCTCGACTATACAAAGTATATGGAGAGCTGTCCTACTCGCCCCGGCGTCGGCGTCCACGTCCGCGTCCAGATTTCAGATTAAAGTTTTGGTGCAGTAAAATATATTTCACTATAACTTTGTCATTTCTTAAGGTATCAACTTCAAACTTCAAATATGTTCCTTATCATCAACCACATCTTATGTGACAAGGTTCATAATTCTAGCACCAATATTTTCAGATTTATCTCCCCTTGAACTTAGAATTTTCCTCAAAAAATACTATTTTTTACTGTTACTTCTTTATTTGTTAAGGGATTAACCTCATACTTCAAATATATGTACCTTATCATCATCCCCATCTTATGTGATAAGGTTCATAACTCTAGCACCAATATTTTCAGATTTATCTCCCCTTGAACTTAGAATTTTCCTCAAAAAATACTATTTTTTACTGTTACTTCTTTATTTGTTAAGGGATCAACCTCATACTTCAAATATATGTACGTTATCATCATCCCCATCTTATGTGACAAGGTTCATAACTCTAGCACCAATATTTTCAGATTTATCTCCCCTTGAACTTAGAATTTTCCTCAAAAAATACTATTTTTTACTGTTACTTCTTTATTTGTTAAGGGATCAACCTCATACTTCAAATATATGTACGTTATCATCATCCCCATCTTATGTGACAAGGTTCATAACTCTAGCACCAATATTTTCAGATTTATCTCCCTTTGAACTTAGAATTTTCTTAAAAAAATACTATTTTTTACTGTTTCTTCTTTATTTGTTAAGGGATCAACCTCATACTTCAAATATATGTACGTTATCATCATCCCCATCTTATGTGACAAGGTTCATAACTCTAGCACCAATATTTTCAGATTTATCTCCCTTTGAACTTAGAATTTTCTTAAAAAAATACTATTTTTTACTGTTTCTTCTTTATTTGTTAAGGGATCAATCTCATACTTCAAAATTAATATATGTATGTTATCATCATCCCCATCTTTAGACAAGGTTCATAACTCTAGCACCAATATTTTTAGATTAATCTCCCCTTGAACTTAGAATTTTCCTTTAAAAAATATTACTTTTTACTATAACTTTTGTAGATTTAAAGGTATCTACCTCAAACTTCAAATACTTATTCCTTATCATCAATTACATTTTATGTGACAATGTTCATAACTCATGAAGCAATATTTACAGATTTATCTCTCTTTGAACTTAGGATTTTCTTTAAGAAATATTATAACTTCTTTACTTTTTAAGGTATTTACTTCAAACTTCAAATATATATTTCTCATCATTACACCACATGTTGTGTGACAAGGTTCATAACTCTAGTGTGACTATTTCTAGAATTATTCCCCTTGATCTTGGAATTTATGTTAACAGATTTTTTGTTACTATAACTTAACACATAATTATACATAATTGATTTTTCTTTCATAGTTTTGTCCTCCTTACTGCTTCCAGTATTTTATTAGTCGAGCTTCGCTGTCTCCTGTGACAGCTCTTGTTGAGAGAGTTATGCCCCTTGAAGAAATTTTCAGTATGGTTTATCATCACACATTCAACTCAAATTTTACATATGGATACATCAAAGGAACACACAGGTCAAGATCAGATTTGTAAAAAAAAATCATTTATATCATATGTTATATACATTTTGAACTTATTGATCTTATAGTGAATTTATTTTTACATAACATGCAAATATTCTTCTTTTACAATACGAGGGGTGTTCGGAAGTTTAAGGACTTTTGCTGTAGTTTGATAAATAATAGGAATTGAAAAGCAAGAAAAATACCATAAAAATATTTAATTCTTTAACAGCCAGCTGTAAAAATTACAATGAAATACATTAAACAATAAGTAAATTACATATTTATAAAACAAAACATACACCGAATCATACCCGGAGCACGCTAACGTCAGTGCTAAATATGTTAACGTCAAATTTCCCCGATCGTCATATTGACTCACTTCTCGACGTATTCTCCATTCACAGCGATACATTTTCTATGCCTCTTTACCCATTTGTCGTACGTGTCCTCGTACCAGATTTTGTCGAAAGAGGAAACTATTCTCTGGGTTTCAATTTGTAATTCCAACCCGGAATCAAAGCGTCGACCACGCAGCTATGCTTTGATTCTGGAAAAACTCGGAAATCCATCGGCGTGAGGTCCGGGCATCCTCTATTGATTCTCTTCCGTTTCAGAACATGTCATGCCGTCTAAATACTAGCGATCTACAGCATTTCTTTGTTGTACTAGATGCTTGAATCATTTTATACGTCTCCGTTGGTGTCTTTTCTATTCCTATACAAAACTTGATGATTGCCCTGACTTCAATGTCGCCTATTGACGTTGTTTTTCTCTTGATTTGTGTAAGCACCAGTGATGTTAAAACCGTTGTTATTCAAACAATTGTAACGATTTAAGAGTAGACTTTTCAGGAAATGACGTTGACGTTGTATTTAAGGCTCTTGCTTTTTCGTGACGTTTTCCATTGAAATTTGATACGGCATTACTTAATAATGCCTGCATTATTTTCATATATCTGAGATGTAATACAGTATATATTGATATCACAATTCAAAATCTGGTCATTTGATAACTTTCATTTCTGAACCAGAATATTCCAATTGTTGATTTCAGTACAATAAATCTGTCACTTTTCAAATAGCTTGTAATTCCTTTTTTTAGCAGGAAGGCAAGAATGTCTGTTAAAAGGGGAACCATGAACAAGGATAAGAAGAATGACGGGCAGCATGTAAACCAGAGTACTATTAATCACCAATCCAGACAGTTATGTCGGGGAGAAAAAGATGATGTCCCAGATCATTTGCAAGAAACAAAGTCTTTGCCTAACATTGTAAATGTCTCTCACATTTTGGGTAATAAATCTAAACAACAGATAAAATTTAACAGCTTGCCTCAAAAGTCAAAAAAATGTCAGGGTGGTGAAATAAGTTTACAGGCAATTCAAAACACTCAGCGGAAGGCCATGAGTAATCCAGATTTACATCCAGAAGCTCAGGCTCAAGATGGTTTGGCTGCAGATGCTGAGTCAGTAGATCTTGAAGCTATTGGTATAGATCAAGATGCTGAATTAGTGGGCCATAGGATACAATCTATAGATCCAGATGCTGATGCAGCAGATTCCAGTACTATTGGTACAGATCCAGATGCTGAAGCTGTGGACATTAGGGTACAATCTACAGATCCAGATGCTGATGCAGCAGATCCCATTACTACTGGTACAGATCCAGATGCTGAAGCTGTGGACATAAGGGTACAATCTACAGATCCAGATGCTGATGCAGCAGATCCCATTACTACTGGTACAGATCCAGATGCTGAAGCTGTGGACATTAGGGTACAATCTACAGATCCAATTGCTGATGCAGCAGATCCCAGTACTACTGGTACAGATCCGGATGCTGAAGCTGTGGACAAAAGGGTACAATCTACAGATCCAGATGCTGATACAATAAATAATGATGCAGATGCTGAAGCAGTAGATCATGATGCTCAGGCTGGTGCAATAGACTTTGATGAGAATATTGCAGGCATAGATAGTGCAGAGATGGAGTCAGGTGCTCAAGCAATTGAGAAAGATGCTGAGGTGAGTATTATCTTTTAGTTCTCTATTTTTTTACTAAAAATTGTAAGAGCTAGAGCTAAGCTATGTGGCATGGAACATTGTCTAATAGACCTTATCAAAGTTTGTTGAATGGGTCAAAATTTGTTATGAGGGAGGTGATCATTTGTTATCTATTTATGTATGTAGTAGAATCCTCAAGCTTAGATATTTAGCATGCAAGATTATCAAGTTTACCACTACCAAATTATAGCCCAAGGGTTAAAATTGTCCTTTCCCTGCCAGAAATAACGGTTTTCTTAATATGTGTATATAGTAAAACCTGAAGAGCTTAGATATGAAGCATTGTTATGTGAACAACTAAATAATCAACCAGTAAATTGCATAGCAACCATTGACTTTCCTTAGAAACCTGTTAATTCCACAGCAACGAGTTACTTCCCTTAGCAACCACTGACTCCCTTAGCAACCATTGACTTTCTTTAGCAACCAGTAACTTTCATCGCAAGCATTAACTTTTCTTAACACGCAATTACTTCCACAGCAACCTTGATACTGACAACAATTTAACATATCAATAAATTTTGATTTTAGCTGACATTTATTTTGCCCCATTGGCCTTTTTATATATTTTAACCCCCAACATCCTATCAGACTATCCTCTTTCTAAATTGTTTTATCAGTGATAGACATCCAGCAAAAGCTGACTAAGTGTCCTGTTTTTAAAAATAACTGAAGTAGACGATGGGTTTTGACACATAAATCTACCTCCATGACAATGCATGTCTGCAAGCCATTTTTACTTATTTTTACTTCTCTCAGAGATACAACCAAAGTTAGCCAAATATCTGACTACCAGTAGTAGGTTTTTTATTTTAAGACTTAAGTTTAAACTTTTCACCTTGATACTATTTAAAGGGTTAGATATAATTTTATTCTTGTAATATTTCCCTGATGTAATAGTTACCATACGAGGAATAGGTCTGCATAGTATGTACAGACCCGGTTAGCGATTTGAAGACCAAGAGAGCGTAGCAATCAAAGTTTTTAAAAGGCCACCGGGTCTGTATATAGCCACCGGGTCTGTGCTGCTATAGATATATAGATATATATCCCATAAATTGATAATGCAGAATTGTTAAAATAATGCAGGATTATGCAAAATCAGACATAGTTGTGGAAATAAATCTTAAAAACTAGTATCTTATGAAGCTATATAGTTTGGCAAATGTGTTAGGTATACCGAAAAGCAAACTGTAAAGAAAGGCTAAATGACATGTGCATTATTGTACTCATTTAAATTGGCGAAACACAAACTTCAACGCCAGTAGCTAGTTTGTTTTTCTCACAAATAATCTGGAATATATGTTATGAGGGTCCTTACAGCTGTATGGGCTAATTTAATTTCTATTAATTTGATGAAATGTACTTTAAAATATATATCCATCCTTTTTCCTATTCGAAGTGGTCATTACCCAACCCCCATTTTTCAAAATTTCTGCGTTAACTGTGAATATTGTGTAATGTACGAGTTTCTAAGTTTCTCTACTTACTTCACATATTTTCTGTTGTATACAGAACACTAGTCTTAATAGAACAAAAACAGGTTGGTATATATTTGCAGACCTGTTAAGCGGTCGGTTAGTGATTTACTAGACCGCATTTTAACAAAAGAGCCGGTAGGTAACATCTTTATTCAATTCATGTAAAACTATTATATAGTATAAGGGGCATATTTTAATTATTGGCAACATTTAACCATGATTTGCCCTTGAAAGTAAATGTAAATGCCCTGGGATGCCAATTTTTACGCTACCTCTGAAAAAGGGATATTGTCACAGGGGATGAAAGGTGGCTTTATTTTTTTTAGCCTGACAATAAACTCAGTAACTGCTGAGTTGTGCAGTCAAGTGTGCCGTACGTCCCGAAATCTTGTGAACGCAACTCCTCTTAAACCGGATGGCAGATTTTGCTTAAACTTTTAGGGATGAACAACCTTAATGTGCAGATGGTAAGAAAGGAAGGAATTTTTGCTGTGACCAAATTTAACAGAATTATGGCCCTTTGTTGATTTTTTCACTATATACTATGTAGAAATTTTGTGAACACTACTCCTCTTAAACCGGATAGCAGATTTTGCTTAAACTTTTAGGGATGAACAACCTTAATGTGTAGATGGTAGTAAAGGAAGGAATTTTTGCTGCGACCAAATTTAACAGAATTATGGCCCTTTGTTGATTTTTTCACTATATACCATATAGAAATTTTGTAATTGCAACTCCTCTTAAACCGGATAGCAGATTTTAATAAAAAGTTCTGCATAAAAATCTTACATACAGATATGCATGCTCTTGTTTACGAGCACATCTGCACAGTGGGGGCATCCGTGTCCCTTGGACACAGTTCTAGTTAATAGTCACTTGTTCTGTAAATAAGCTACAGTTCTCAAAAGAAATATTTGAGAAATAAGGTTAATCTTCGCAAATTTCTTACATTTTGATTCTCTCTAGGATTAAATAATTTATTGTTGAATTGCTCTATGAGTGTCACCCAAGAATTTAAAATCTTGGTACTTTATCAATATAATACAAAAAAGCAACACAAGACATTAAGAGAAAAATCTTACATGTCAATACTTGTCATTCTACTGGTTCAAGCAGGACACTGTACTGGTTTCCTAGCAGTTTCCGGCCATAAATTGCACTTTTTAACAAATAAAATAAAAATCATTTTATGGAGGGGTACAAAACTGTGACAGAACAAAGTTAGGTACCTGTCCAGCATTGCCATGTGTTTAATGTTGCACTTTCATTTTACTTTTTAATTTGAATACAGGCCTGAAACGTAACACCTTTTTCACCTTTATTCAAAAATTCATAGCAGTTTTCCGGACCTTTTTTATTCTGAATATAATTCAGTACCATAAAGCAATGTTAAGATGGTTTTATCAGACAAACAGAACTTCCCAACCTTTTTCGTGTCGTCTGCAAAAATATTTTCCAAAGTATTGATTTACCTAAAATGGGGTCTTAGTTATTGCTCATGGATATTCAAACTAGAATTCCCCAGGTGTTGCTTATTTTTGAAAGTCGCAAGTTCTCATATGTAACTTTAAATAACAGGCAAAACTTCAAAACATATAAATCGTTGTACTATTTTGAATGTTGTTTAGCATAGAAAACAAATGTCTCTCTGAATGATGAAATAATGTGGATGCTTTACTGGTAAAAATAGACGGTACTGGACGAAAACGATAAACGGCCGGAAAACTGCTAGGGGACGGAAACTGCTAGGAAACCAGTATCTTTCATTTGCAATAAATCCATTATTTCAAGTACCGGTATCTATAGCTCTCCTGGGGGTATTGTCATATAAGCAAAAGTAATTTAGCATGGCTCTTGTGTTGCTTTTGTACACACTTACATTACCATTACTCAACCAGTTACAATTCACTGAAGAGTTTCACACTGTTTTTTTTTGTTCTTTTTTTTGGCTTTTTATACTTTGAAAATTAGCAAGCTTTAAGTTCCATTACAACCAATGGCTTAATATGGTATGCACTTCATTTGACATACAAATACATAGAGGATATTTGTTTGTTTTACATGTAAGATTGAAATATATTTCACTGAGTGAACACCAGTTGCAATATTTTCACAAGTGGCGTAGCCACAAGTGAAAATACGATAGCTGGTGTTCACGAATGAAATATATTTCAATCTTATATGTAAAACAAAAAAAAATTGATGTTTATATTTTATAAATTTCACTAGTGGTTTATCAGAATATAATCATCTGATATAATTACAGTAAAACACTGGAAAGCATGAAATAAAAGTACATGTTCTTGGTAACTAGCAAGTTACATGACTGACATCATCCATTTAATAAGTTACATTATTTTTACTTTGAAAATAAGTATAGGTTCTCTTTTTTTAGTAATGAGACAATGATAATCTTAAAATTTTGTACAAGTAAAATGATGACTTTATACATTACTATTTACAAAACAAAATATTTTACATTGGCATCCATTCTTTGCAGGTGTGTACGAAAATGCATTGAACCATTCTAAGCAAATTCAATGTCAAGGCACTTTTAACATTTACTGAATAGAACAAAGGTCACTGTTACATTATATCATAACATCAACCTTTTTTTTCTGGAGTAATCACCCAATCCTGAATTTATGAACAGGTAAACAACAATTTATTTAATATGACAACAACTGTTTCAAGCTGACTATTATCAATGGTTTAACGCTTCTTTATTCCATGTTCTCAATAGCTGTGAAATTTGGCAGTTAAATTTAAGTGTTTGTATGACTTTAAATAGCTCTGAAGCATAGATATAATAGAAAAAGATATCCAAAATGTTAGTATAATCATTAAATGTAAACTACAAAATATAAATTTCTACTTCTGTTCTTAATTTGTTTGTCTCTAGTTATGTGTTTATCAATGATTTCATTTTAAATCAACAGAATGATTCCTCCCTTGCCACAGGGTAGACTTTGACCAATCTTTATAGGAATGACCCTTATGTTGTTCTCTACATAAGTTTCCAAAACTGTTCCAGTTTGATGTAGGTCACAAAAGCTAAAATACAAATTGTTTTTAGTCAGGTATGAATTACAACATCATAATTTTGTGCCATTTCTTTTTTTGAATTGTTCATAAATGTATATTTTTGTTTTGTTGTTGTTTTTTCAGAAGAAAAGGATTGCCATACAAAGTCTACAAGAAAATGGATATAAAGATAATGACATAAAAACGGCAGAGAAAGTGTTTGCTGAAAGACATGGTTTTTATCTTTATTTATTTCTAATGCTATCTGTGCATTTTATTTCAACAACATTTTTGTGCCCCCACTTTAGGGGGGGGAGCATTTAGTTTGACCCTTGTCTGTCTGTCCATCCTTCTGCCCATCCTTTTTCATTTTGTGGCACACGTAGCTCAAAAGTATTTGACCTAAAGTCATGAAACTTCATAGGAATGTAATGCTCAGCATGTGAAGTTGTGTACCTGGGGTTTTGCATGTAGATTTCTTCTGTTTTGTCAGAGTTATTGTCCTTGACTTAGTAAAAATTTGCAATTTTCAACTAGTGTCATGTGTAGCTCAAAAAGTATTTAACCTAGAGTGTTAATGTTGGTAAGTATGTGTACTTATGCACCTTGGGGTTTGCTTGTGGATTTATTCAGTATTTGTAAAGCTCTTGCCATTTACTTTAAAAGATTTTTAGTTTTCAACTTGTGGCACATGTAGCCCAAAAAATATTTGACCAAGAGCAATAAGATTGACAAAACAGTGGAGTGTGGGTGCAGGAAATGTCATTTCTAGTTTAATTTTTTTGTTTGTTTATTGAACAGCAATATTTGTTATATTAATATTATTGTGAGTTAGATGCTTTCCAGGAGGAAGAGACTTTGTGTGCATACTGTTTATCTGGTTAACAAAGTTTACAATCTTTCTTCAGAAAGTTTTAGGGAAAACATTTTTTTGAAATGTCAGACAATTTTGCGTACCACTACAAATTTTATACTCCTTCAGGCTTGAAGGACTTTCTTAAAACTTAGTTCAAATATTCTTTTTCAAAAGTAATGATAAATGGACCTATAAAAAATCCTGTGTCACAGATGTGGTGGGTGTACTCTTGTTGGTTTTGACAGCTCTATTTGTACAAAGTTTAGTTGTGATGATATTTATATAATATCTGCAATGATTATTTATGTTTCAGGAAATAAAACTTTCTGTGGAAGAGATCTAGCAGAGATAATGGTGAGCACATGTATTTCTATTAATAAATTTGTATGTCCTTTTTGTATTTAAAAAATTCTTTTAATTGCAAAACTAGACGTTTATGAATTACAAGGCTGTATAACATGACAAAATTTACTTTTAGTTATAAGTAAAAAATTAAATGCCAGGATGGAAGAGTATGACAACAGAAGAGAGCTTTTCAGTAATAAATTTGCTATGGTGTATAATAGTTTAATCTCATCAAACCCCCTGTCTTATTATTATATGCAAACACAAATTTGATAATTATGCCTGCAAAATTTCAGATCATTCACTCACTCTGTTTTTCCAGAATATGAAGTATTTTTTTTAAAACATAAAATCTTTTAATTATCGATATTGACAGGGTTTTTTTATGCTCCGCCATAAAATGGCTGGGATGGCTGGGGCATTATAGTGTTACCCTGGAATCCGTCATTCAAACCTTCCGTCATTCCACCATCATCATCAATTTCCGTTCATTATCTTATAACGGTTGCACAAATTCAACTCAAATTTGACATTTGAATATGTCATGAGAAAATACAGGTCAGGTTCGAATATGGTCATGGTCCCATGATTTTTAGCAGAGTAATGCCTCTTGATTAAACTTTCAGTTTCCGTTCATTATCTTCCCCAACAGTTGTGCACATTTAACTCAAATTTGACATATGGATACGTCAAAGGAATGCGCATGTCAAGTTAGAATTTGGACTTGGTTCGATTGTTTTTGGCAGATATGTTCCTTTCACTTTGATAATAATATGAAATTCTCAGTTTCCAACCATTATCTCCCCAACAGTATTGTCAAATTTGACATATGCATATGTCAAAGAATTGCGCAGGTCAAGTTTAAATTTGGTCATGGTTCAATGATTTTTGTCAGAGTAATGCCCCTTTAATTTAAAAAAAAGAAAGAAATTTTCAGTTTTCATTCATTATCTTCCCAACAGTTGTACATATTCAACTCAAATTTAACATATGGATATGTCATTAGAATAAAGTGGTCAAGTTGGAGTTTGGTCGTGATTGATGATAGCTGACAGAGTTATCCCTCTTGAACTTTGAAAAAAAAATCAGAAATTTTTAGTTTCTGTTCATTATCTTCTCAATGGTTGAACACATTCAACTCAAATTTGACATAATAGATACATCTTAGGAATAAGCAGTTCAAGTTTGAATTTGGTCAAAATTGAAAAGTATTGCAATGCTTTTTTAGAAGTCAAATCGGGTTAAGAGAAGCATAAAAACAAGGTTTGAGTATATTTCTTATTAATCTTTTACATATCTTTTCTTTCCAACTGATCTAATAGAGATATTCAAATTTTATGTTTTACAACAATAAAACAAAATAAAAATCAAACCATATATCAACTTTAAATATCAACTGCATTTAACTCTGCACAATCTAAGATAAATGGACATGAGATTATTACAACTTTGAAAAGGGGAGGATATGTTTATTTGATTAAAAGGATCATTCTTAAGATTAACAATTTCCTAAGGCTTCAAAAGTTTGTGGAAAATATAATTCCTTTTGAAAAGAAATCTGATTATCTTTTTTACAGTTTCCATATAAAAATATACATAAAGCCATTTATTTATAAATACACCAAATATGAAATAACAAAGTGTTATTGTAATCAGTTATACAATCATTAGTTGCACATACAAGCTATTATATTTTTACAATGATAAACTTTTACTTGAAAGAATTTTGGTGTAAAATATTGGGTATAACATTATCATGATTTGCAACTACAGATTTAGGTAATTAGGCAGCCTTGAAAGCAGGGATCTACCAAAAAGCGGCAGATGGCCTGAAACTGGTCACTTGATGCTTGCATTTCAGTTGAGTCTATTCGTTGTTTGTTTACGGAAGTTGTTTTATAATATTATTTTATGTATGAGGATAATGTTTAAGTGACATTATGCTCTTTTTTCATCGTCAGATATATATTTCAAATTATTGACTATTTTAATATTGATTGATCAGTTATTGATGATAAGAAATATTTAGGATAAAATATAACAAGAGTCACCACATAGCGGGGGACACGCTCGAATTATTTCTCAAGTCAAACACATCGGGAGAAGAATATTGTTAGTAAAGAATACTTCAAGAAAACATTATACAAACAAAATATTTTTCAAATTTCATATTTGACATAAATACTGTTATGGTCATTCAAAGATCAAGGTCACATTTGAATTATCGTCATTTTAGTTTTGTCATATGTGTTTTTTTGTCCAAGACTGAATCAAATCCATCAAAAATAACAACTTTGACAAGGTCATATTTGAATTACAAATGTTATGTCCACTTGAAGTGTCCTTAAGATAGTTGTTCTCAAGAATTAAAATAGTCTATTCATAAATTACAAAGTTATAGCCAATAATAGCAAAAATCAAGCAAAATGTAATAGTAATTTGACATACTATATATAGGTCATTGATGAGTGAAGGTCATGATAAATTTTGTTTAAAGGTGGTGTGTTTAAGTATGAACACAATCCATTAATGAATAATAAAGTTATAGGTGTAACAAAAATCAAGCAAAAACACATTTGACCTTGAAAGTCAAGATTGTTTATGAGTCAAACTCAAATTCATTCTACTCAATTTGAAGGTCTTGTCCAAAGGGATGTTGTGTCCACAGGAAATTGACATTCTATTAGCAAATAATTAAAAAAGAACGGCAAATATACCCCTCTATACTATTTGTAGTATAGAGGGGTATATTTGCCATTATTTTTTAATTATTTGCTTATATTTTTCAGTTATTGATAGAATGTCAATCTCCTGTGGTTGTGTCAAAGTATGAAGGCAATCGGTTTAGAAATAAAAGAATGGCCATATAATGTTAAAGTTTTTGAACAGGAATGGATGCCATGACTGTAGTAATGGCTTGAATTCTGAAAAAAGCTAAAAACTGCCTAAAATTTAAAAAGAATGCCACAGTCTTTTTATCAATAGAGCATAACCAATGGATTCTGAAGGTTATTTATAAAAGTGTTAGTTAGCCACGTTGGTTCTTAGATATTCATTTAAAGTAAGATATGAAATTCTAGGAAACAATTTTGGCAAAATATGAACTTATCTTGAATTTCACCAGTCCTGCACTCTCAACATTTATTAACACTTGGATAGTCATAATGTCACTTTAATAGACAGAAAATTTGTAATCGGTTTTTAATCAATAAGCAGATAAGCATACATATTATTGTGAGCAAAACCATTACATCATATTTGATTTGAACAGGAATAACATATTATTATTCAATAGAACATGTTGATTTAGTTCATGTGTGCTATTTTTAGACTGACCTAGCTAGTTCTCTGTGAATGTAGAGGTATTTTTTGTATTCTTATTCAGACAGGTGCTCATTTATACTTTTTCTAGAAAGTTTTGAATCAAGTTTGTGTGAGTTTGTGCTGTCGAAATAATCAGTATATACTGGTATTCCTATTTTATAGCCTGAAAAGCCTGAAGCAATATTACAGTATAAGTGGATATTTATGCGTCACAAAAATTTTGCAAATGACAAAAGTGGACCTTTGTACGGAAGTGTCCTGGTGCCAATTCATAATGTTCTATAAAAAAATAAACTCCTACGTAGGAGATAAAAAAGCCTAATTAGGAGTTTGTAACTCCTACGTAGGACTTTTAAACTCCTACGTAGGACTTTTTAACTCCTACGTAGGACTTTTAAACTCCTACGTAGGACTTTATAAGTCCTACGTAGGACTTTATAACTCCTACGTAGGACTTTATAACTTCTACGTAGGACTTTAAAACTCCTACGTAGGAAATAAAAAAGCCTAATTAGGAGTTTATAACTTCTACGTAGGACTTTTAAACTCCTACGTAGGACTTTTTAACTCCTACATAGGACTTTATAACTCCTAAGAAGGACTTTTAAACTCCTACGTAGGACTTTGTGAGTCCTACGAAGGACTTTGTAACTCTAACGTAGAAGATAAAAAAGCCTAATTAGGAGTTTATAACTCGAACGTAGGCCTTTATAACTCCTACGTAGGACTTTAAAACTCCTACGTAGGAGATAAAAAAGCCTAATTAGGAGTTTATAACTTCTACGTAGGACTTTTAAACTCCTACGTAGGACTTTTTAACTCCTACGTAGGACTTTTTAAGTCCTACGTAGGACTTTTAAACTCCTATGTAGGACTTTTTAACTCCTACGTAGGACTTTATAACTCCTACGTAGGAGATAAAAAAGCCTAATTAGGAGTTTATAACTCCTACGTAGGACTTTTAAACTCCTACGTAGGACTTTATAAGTCCTACGTAGGACTTTTAAATTCATACGTATGACTTTTTAACTCCTACGTAGGACTTTATAACTCCTACGTAGGACTTTTTGACTTTATAAGAAATGCAAATCTCAACATTCCGGACCGGTATATCGGCAAAGGAACAAGACACTTACCCCCTCCCCCCCTCAAATCTTAAATATAGAGGACAGTTCACCTTCGGTTCATACAGAATTTATTTAAGTTTGATTGTGTAGGAAGCTATAAGCTTATAGACACATTTTCGAATCCGTTCCTGGAACCAACCAGTACGTAGTTGGCAATGAGTGTAAAGTTTCTTGCTCAAGGAAACAACGGCTTGCGCCTAACGGGGTTTAAACCCATGCGGCTAGCGATCATTAGGCTACTAGTCACACGGCCATGCCGCAACACTTCACCTTTTAATAAAGTGTCTCAGGTTTCTAGAGTGTACAGTGTCTTAGGGTGAGTTGTCTGTAAGCATTGGCGATGTATCCTGAAAAATTGCTTTACAGCTATTCCAAAAAAACTTACTCGACATCAAGCATATATATCAAAATTTTAAAAGGCTTTAATGATTACGATTTCAATACGAACTAGCTGAACAAAACGAGCAATTTATCCATTTTCGGCCGTTTCAAATGATTAAATCCTTATAGGGGGCAGGGGGGGTGGTGGGGGGGGGGTAGTGAAGTGTCTTGTTCCTGCTCGTAGAGTTTAAGAAGATAACGGTTTGCGGAGCATTATGCATGCATATGTTTAATAATGAATTACATTGTATATCCTACTTTGAACAAAAGTTTAACCCTGGCTACAGACTAAAGGTATTTACTAAAGTGGCTTGCCACAATTACAACTTGGCACATATGAGCCCGCCATGACAAAACCAACATAGTGGGTTTGCGACCAGCATGGATCCAGACCAGCCTGCGCATCCGCGCAGTCTGATTAGGATCCATTGCTATTTTGCTATCAATTTCTCTACTTTGTAATTGGGTTTGTAAGCGAACAGCATTGATCCTGATCAGACTGCGCGGTGCGCAGGCTGGTCTGGCATCCATGCTGGTCGCAAATGCACTATGTTGGTTTTGTCATGGCGCGGCTCATATAATTTATTTTCCTACATAATATGCTATCTTAAGTTTTATACCTAAGCATAACATGTCCGTCGAAACTTTGTGTTTCAGTTCTTTGATATGGTATTCTACGTAGGAGTTATAAAGTCCTACGTAGGAGTTTAAAAGTCCTACGTAGGAGTTACAAAAGTCCTATGTAGAGTTAATAAAGTCCTAATTAGGCTTTTTTGTCTCTTTACGTAGGGGTACAAAAGTCCTATGTGGAGTTTTAAAAAGTCCAACGTTGAGTTATAAAACGTTCCTAATTAGGCTTTTTTATCTCCTACGCTAGGAGTTATAAAGTTCCTACGTAGGAGTTTTACAAAGTCCTACATAGGACTTATAAAGTCCTACGGTAGGAAGTTATAAAGTCCTACGTAGAGTTACAAAGTCCTACGTAGGAAGTTTTAAAATCTACCTACGTAGGAGTTACAAACTCCTAATTAGGCTTTTTTATCTCCTAAAGTAGGGGGGTTTATTTTTTTATAGAAAATTATGAATTTGGGGAAGCTTCGTATCTTTGTGGGGGCAGAAAAAATTTGCAAAATTTTTTTTTTTTAAATTTTTTTAAATTTTGTTTTTAAACAATTGTTTTGGGGTTAAAATTGATTAGGCAGGTACTTATAAGATATTGTGAAAAAACCCATTTTTGTGGGTTTACAAAAATTTTTGTTTTTTTAAAAAATTTTGGGGATTTGTTTAAGACCAAAAATTTAAACAAAAGCATTGGGGGAAATTAATTCAGTATATAACAGTTAACTTTTTTCATGGGGGAAGATGCTTTTGTTATAAATTTTGAAGGGGAAAAATTTGGCCTTAAAGTAAAAAAAAATTTTGTGCAGAATCAAATGTTTTGGGGAAAATTTAAAATTTTCAAAAAAAGCAAATTTTTTCCCTCCCAAATTAACCATTTTTAATTTAAAATTTCTTTAAATTTTGGGTGAAAAAACAATTTCCTTTTTTAACAGGTAATCATTTGAAAAAGGGGTCTTTATTCTATAAATTTCACCCCCAAATATTTTTAGGGGTTTTCTCCGTGTGTTTTTTTGGGGCCCTTTCAAACTTTTTTGTTTTTAATTAGGGAAAAGAAACGGGTTTTTCCCTTTTATGAAAATTTTATGGCCTATACCCCTTTGGGAAAAAAAATTGGCCCCCCAAAGATGAAAAATTTTGCGAAAAAAAAAAGGCTAAAAAAATGGTTTTTAAATCCCTTTTGACCCCCGGGGCCCCTTTTCCCGTAGGACAGAAAATAAGAAAAAATCGGAAATTTTTTCATTTCTTTAAAACATTTTTTTTTACGACAGACGTCCAAAAACATATTAAAACTATAAAAAAATTTCCTTTTTTAGAAACCCTGCGTAAATTAGGTCAAACTTGAAATTTTTTTCATGAAAACCTAAAACTCGTTTTCGAACAGTCTGGGTTTTTTTAAAGGGGTTTTGAAACAAAAAGGTTTAAAGGGGTATGGTTCAACCCAAATTCATACAATAAAAAAACCCTAGGGTATTAAACTGTTAATTTTTAAATTAAACTGGAAAAAAACAGGGGTTTCACAATCCTTGTTTTTAAAACAAATTCATGAACGTTTTAAAAAACGGGAAATTTTTTACGTTTTTTTTACCTTTATAGCCCCTTAAAAATAAATGTTGAGTTTAAAAGTCAAACGTTTTTAAAAAGTAATTTTTTGAAAAAAACAATGAAAATCAATTTTTTCTCAGGGAAAGGGGGAATTGGGAAAATTTGCTTTTTTTCAACCCTGAATTTTGGGAATTAACTATTTTTTTAAATAAAAAAAATGGTTAGAAAATCTGTTTTATGGTATCAAATAATTTGCCCTTTAAAATACTTAAACCCTTTTGAAAGGGTTTTCTTCAATTAATTTTGGGTAAAAGATTTTTATTACCAAAATTTTAAATTAAAAATGTACAGTATATTTTAAATTTCTATAATCTTTTTCCTAAAAAAGGGATATTTAAAATTTAACCCTATTTGGGGGTTTTTTTGAAAAACATTTAAAGAATAATAAAAAAAAGGGGAAACTTAAAAAATTTAGTATTTTTTAAAAACTAAATTTTTTGGGGCCCTTCCTACCAAAAAACAGTAAGTGGGTTTCCCCCGGGGAAACCAAATTTTATACCCCTTTTTTACGTTAAAAATGCCCCTTTTATGAATAAAGCGCCCCGGGTTTTGGAAATCGAATTTTTTCCCGGTTTCGTTTTATTACGCAATTGGGTGAAAGGATAAAGCCCGAAAGTACTTGGGTTTTTTAATTATAAGTGGTGTTAAATATGTTTGCCATAGCCTTTTATTGTCCAGAAAAAACTTGAAAACAAATTTTTTTATATTTGATATCTAAAAAAAGACGGTTTGGAAAAAAAATTTAAAAAAAGTTAAACCCTGGACTGTGTTTTTTGGGTTTTTTTTAATTGGGTTTTTTCCCCCCATTTTTTTTCAATTTTTTTTTTAAAATAAAATTTTTTATATAATTATAGAAAGTATTTTATAATAAATTTCTTTTATAATAAAATATTTATATTTTTACAATGAAATATACCTTAAAAATTATATAATAATTTTATATATAAAATTTATATAATTATTAAAAATATTATTAAATTTTATTTTATTTTTTATATATTTTAGTTAATCATGGGGTTTTCTTAAATTTTTTAATATTTTTTTTCAGGAAAATAGAAAGTGGTTTAGGGGTTTCCCGTCCCTTTAATGGGGAAATAAAGAAAAAAAACCCTTTTCCACTCTTAAACAAAATTTTCTTACTTTTAAAACCCGGTAGAATTTTATGTAAAGGAAAAGATCTTTTGGTGGGCCTCTTTGAGAGTTTTTTAAAAGCTCCCCCTCTTGCATAAAGGGGCACCCGGGGCTTATCAAAAAAAATTTTAAAATCCTCTTTTAAAAAATTTTTTGTAAAACCCCAAGGCAAAAACCCTTTAAAAAATTGGAAAAAAACATCACTAGTGACATTTTTTTTAAATTATAAGGTTTCAGGGGGAAAAAATTTACCTATGGTAAAGGGGGTGGGTGGTTTTTTTTTTTTTCTTTTTTATTTTTTAACTTCTTATAAGTATAAGTTGGAAACCCCCCCCGAACCACAAAAGGGAAGATTACTTTTTTTGATGAATTTTTTCTAGTGGACTGTTCCAAAGTTTGTTAGGTTAAAGACTGGGGGCAAAAT